CTATCAAAAGTCACAGAGTGGCTGAATGGATTAAAAAAAAAAAGATCCAACAATGTGCTGCCTACAAGAGATTCACTTAAGCATTAAGGACAAGTGAAGGGATAGAAAAAGATATTCCATGCAAATAGTAATGAAAAGAGAGTAGAAGTGGCTATACTTAAATTAAACAAAATAGACTTTCATTCAAAATCTGCCACAGTAGACAAAAGTCACTATATAATGATAATGTAGTCAATTCATCAAGAGGATATAACAATTATAAACACAGTCAACACTGGAGCACTTAAATATATAAAGGAACTATTAATTGAACTGAATGGAGAAATAGACAGCACTATAATGATAGCAGGGGACTTCAATAATCCACCTTAGGGAACTAGAACAAACTAAGATCAAGTTAGCAGAAGGCAGAAATTAATGAAAATTAGAACAGAAATAAATTAAGTAGAGACTGGAAAGACAATAGAAAAGATCATAGAAACTAAGAGTTGGTTCTTTGAAAAGACAAAGAAAATTGAAAAATTTTAGCTATACTGACTAAGAAAAAAGATAAATAAAATTTTAAATGAAAGAGAAGACATATTAACCGATACCAAGAAATAAAAAGGATAATAAGAGACTTTAACGAACAATTATATACCAACAAATAGAATGACCTAGAAGAAATGGATAAGTTCCTAGAAATATATAACCTACCAAGACTGAATCATGAAGAAATAGAAAATCTGAACCAACCAATAATAAGAATTTTGAATCAGTAATCAAAAATTTCCCAACAAATAAAAGCCCAGGGCCAGGTGGTTTCACTGGTGAATTCCACAAACATCTAAGAAAGAATTAATGCTAAACCTTCTCAAACTCGTCCCAAAAAATTAAACAGGAAGAAACACTTCCAACTCATTTTACGAAGCCAGCATTACTCTGAAACCAAAGCCAAACAAGGACGCTAAAATAAGGAAAACCACAGGACCATGTCCCTGATGAACAAAAGTCTTCAACAATATACCAGCAAACCAAATTCAGTAGCACATGAAAAGGATCATATACCATGATCAAATCAGATTTATCCCTGGGATGCAAGAATGGCTCAACATATGCAATTAATAAATGTGACACATCATATTAACAGAATGAAGAATAAAAATCATAAGACCATCTCAATAAAAATAGGAAAAGCATTTGACAAAATTCAACATCCTTTCATGATTAAAAACTCTCAACAACTTAAGTACAGAAAAAATGTCCCTCAACTTAATAAAGGTAATATATGACAAGCCCACACCTAACATCATACTCAGTGGTGAAAATCTGAAAGCTTTTCCTTTAAGATAAGAAACAAGACAAGGACGCCCACTCTCACCACTTCTTCTCAACATAGACTGAAGTCCTAGCTAGACAGAGTAGGCAAGAAAAAGAAATAAAAGGCATCCAAACCAGAAGGGAAGAAGTAAAATTATCTTTGTTAGCAGATGACATGATCTTATATGTAGAAAACCCTAAAGACTCCACCAAAAGCCTGCCAGATCTAATAAATGAATTTAGTGAAACTGCAGGATACAAACTCAACAAAAATCAGTTACATCTTTATATGGTTATAGCAAACTATCTGAAAGGGAAATTAAGAAAACAATCCCTATTACAATAGCATGAAAAATAAAAACTACTTAGAAATAAATTTAACTGAGGAGATGAAAAAATCTGTACACTGAAAACTTTAGGACATTGGTAAAAGAAATTGAAGAAGATACAAATAAATAGAAAGATATCCTATGGTCATGGACTGGAAAAATTAATATTGTTAAAATGTCCATACTATGCAAAGTGATCTACAGATTCAATGCAATCTCTGTCAAAATTTGAGTGGTATTTTTCATAAAAATAGAAAAAACTATTGCAAAATATATATGGAATCACAAAAGACTGAATAGCCAAAGCAATCTTGAGCAAGAACAAAACTGGAGGCATCACACTTCCTGATTTTAAATTCTATTACAAAACTATTGTCATCAAAACAGTATGGTACTGGCATAGTCCAGTGGAACAGAGTAGAATCTAGAAATAAACCCACACATAGGCAGTCTACTAATTTTTGACAAGAGTGGATACACAATGAATACACAATGGGAAAATGATAGTCTCTTTAATAAATGGTTCTGGGAAATATGGATATCCACATGCAAAAGAATGAAATTGGACACTTATCTTACATCATACACAAAAATCAACTCAAAATGGATTAAAGACTTAAATGTATAACGTGAAACTGTAAAACTCCTAGAAGAAAACATGGGGAAAACACTCTTTGACATTAGTCTTGGCAATGATTTTCAGGATATGACACCAAAAGCAAATGCAACAAAAGCAAAAATAAACATGTGGAATTACATCAAACTAAAAAGCTTTTGCACAGCACAAATCAACAAAATGAAACAGCAACCCATAGAATGGGAAAAAATATTTGCAAACCATATTTCTGGTAAGGGGTTAATCTCCAGAATATATAAGGAACTTATATAATTAATTAAATAGCAAGACAAACCCTGATTTAAAATGGACAGAGAACCTGAATAGTCATTTTTCCAAGGAAGACATACAGATTGCCAACAGGTATGTGAAAAGGTGCTCAACATCACTAATTATCAGGGAAATGAAAATCAAAACCACAATGATATATCACCTCACACCTGTTAAATGGTTATCATCAAAAAGATGAGATAACACATGTTGGTGAGAGTGTGGAGAGAAAAGGAGCCCTTGTGCATTGTTGGTGGAAATGTAAACTTGTTCATCCACTATGGAGAACAGTATGGAGGTTCCTCAAAAAATTAAACATAGAACAGCCATATGTTTCGGTAATCCCACTTCTGGGTATATATCCAAAGGAAATAAAAAAGGTTACTGAGGAAACATATTCTCCCATGTTTATTGCAGCATTATTCACAATAGCTAATGTACATATAAAATGCTATTCAGCTGTGAGAAAAAAGGAAATTCTGCCATTTGCAACAACATGGATGGATCTTGAGGACATTATGTTAAGTGAGATAAGTCAGACAGAGAAAGACAAATACTGTATGATATCTCTTACATGTGGAATCTAAAAAGAAAAAAAACCAGATATTGTTACCAGGAGCTGCGGTGGGTGGGGGGGCGGAATAAGAGGGAAGTTATTTAAGTGCATATATTTGCATTATGTGATGCGATGGAGGTGTTAGCTAAGGCTACAGTGGCAATCATACTGCCACAATGGCAATCATACTGCCAAGCAATATGTTGTACACATTAAATTTACACAATGTTGTATGTCAAATATACCTCAACAAAAAACAATTGTCGAGGGATTCCCTGGTGGCGCAGTGGTTGAGAATCTGCCTGCCAATGCAGGGGACACGGGTTTGAGCCCTGGTCTGGGAGGATCCCACATGCCACGGAGCAACTAGGCCCGTGAGCCACAACTATTGAGCCTGCGCGTCTGGAGCTTGTGCTCCGCAACAAGAGAGGCCGCGACAGTGAGAGGCCCGCGCACCGCGATGAAGAGTGGCCCCCACTCACCACAACTAGAGAAAGCCCATGCACAGAAACGAAGACCCAACACAGCCAAAAAAAAAAAATTGTCGAAAAATGGTACCTATGTGAGGTGATGGATGTGTTAATTAGCTTGATTGTGGTAATCATTTCACAATGTATATGTATATCAAATCATCAAATATATATACTTTTATTTGTCAACTATATCTCAGAAAGGTGGAAAAAGATCTAAGTATCCATGCCAGAACCTTAGGGTACAAATCATTAATAAGGCTATTAAAATAAATATTGTAACTGAAATGAGTCTGCATTTCACTACAACATTAATTTAGTAATATCAACCATGAACGTAACTTAATCTGAAAGAAACAACAAAGTTCTTATATCAGTTCAGAAATTTACTCCATACATAACCATGAAAAAGAATAGAGAGCAACATGGGTCTCAGCAAAATCACAAATTTCTTCGTGTCATAGACCTTTGTAAATCTTTGAACAGTAGGTATCAAATCCATGTCAAAAGTTTACTATACTTCTATCATTGTACTTATGTCATTGAACACCTATTGCTCTGATGAGAACATGAACTTCCTGGAGACAGGCCCTGTCTTTTCATTCTTTTTATATACCAAAGTTGACATAACACAATGCAACCACTCCAAGAACATTTGCTGAATTAAATTGCCTCCTAATTTGTGTCTGTGTTTCCAGGCCATCCTCCTCTACAAAATCCTGCCAGTTCTTTTACAAAAATACAATTCTGATAATGTCACTTTTATTGTCCCCAAATCTTTATTGGCTGTTCCTAATCTGCTTTACAAGATTATGTCCACATACCCTGGCAGGGCATTCTGTGCCCACAGCCTGTATTCCCAGTCTCATTCCCAGCCTCTCCTCTTCATATACCGACCCTCTCCTCAAGCCATGCCAACTGTTCCTTGAACACTTTTAGATTTTCATTACTCTATGCCTTTGCAAATGCTGTTTCCTCTGTCTGAAAGTTCCTTCCACCTCCATCTGCCCAGCAAACTCATTTATTATTAAAGCTCAGCTTAAATATCACTACCTTGTAGCTTTCCCTGACCCCCTCACAGAATTAGTATCTCCCCCATTTGCTTTTTTTGTACCAATATGTTTATTTATTCTTAAAATGAACTAAGCTGACTCAGGGGAAAGGGAAGAAGAGAAGGAAGGAGGGAGCGCCCTGCCAATGGACTTAACCAACCAGCGACTGCGGCACTACATGTTAAGCATATTGTTCAAGCAGGCGTCAGAGGATGGGGTTGGATGACCTTTAAGTCATTAGATGCTACGGTTCGCATCTTTCACATTGCGTGTCTGTGTGCTCCTGTGTGTGTGTGTGTGTGTGTGTGTGTGTGTGTGGAGTTGGGAGGGAGGGGACAAAGAGAGAAACAGAGACAGAGATCAGAGACGCGATGAGGCTGGACGCAGTGCGGTTAAGAACAGATGGGCGGACCCAAATTTCTTCTGCTTTACAGTTTTGCAGAGGTCTAGCCCTGCATCCAGTGCTGTGGCAAGGGCGTGGGAGAGGAGGAAAGAGGAGGGACTGCACTCCCTCTGAGCGTGTCCAGCCTCGACTGCCTGACGGATCACTTTCCGCACCAACACCGCCAGTTCCTCCTCGCCGTGACTCATGCCTATTGTGCCAGGCAGGGCGCACTCTGCCCTGCAGCCCCACAGGTGGTATCGACTAGGGGAGACTGTTCCCGCCAGGCTAGGCAGTGGAGCGCCGCACAGCGCGCCTTCCCGCCTCTCAACTGCTGCCCCAGCAGTTCCGACCCAGCGCCAGCAGGCCTGCTCGGTCGATCTTCGAGCCGAAGATGCGGCGGGGCTGGAAGATGGCTCTGTCCGGGGGGCTACGGTGCTGCCGCCGTGTACTTTCCTGGGTGCCTGTGCTTGTTATCGTCCTCGTCGTGCTCTGGTCCTACTATGCCTACGTCTTTGAACTCTGCTTGGGTAAGTGGAGCTAGCACCTAAGATGGGGAAAATATGCTCCCCCTATGTTCTTAGCCCTCACACTGCGGTTTTCCTTTAGCTCCCTGGAGAGCTCCTGGTCTCCAGCCTCTGGCTTCCCACAGTATTTCTTGCGGCCTGCCACGAGGGTCCCGCCATGTCACCATCGCTTCCGACCCAAGATTTCTTACATTATTTCCTGGCCCTACCCACAAGAATTTACTGGCTTTTTCCACTGGGGCCCCCTTTTGTCATACAGGACAACCACTTGTGCCTTGTGCTCTGGTTCTGGGGGCTCCCATCCTACAGAGTTGAGGAAACAACATACCCTGTATACTTAAACGGTCCACTTACGCTATGAATCCCACCAATTCACCCAACTAGAAGCCCCACATTTTCCCATTCCTTCCTACTAGGAATCCCCAAATATTTCCTGTACTCTTAATGGCTCGCCTTTATCTAACACTAGGATTCCTCCTTTTCCCGTGATCCTCTCAAGCCAGCTGAAGTGATTCACATTTTTCTGCCACTTGGGACCCCACAGTACACCTTGTTCTACCCCACTGTGGTCTCCCCTTTTCACAAAGTAATAAGCCCTCCATTCCTCTTTCCCTGTGGCTTCAACATTTTCTCATCTTCTCCAGCAGAATACGAGTCCTACAATACATCCTGTCCTGTCTCCTCATGCAAGAGGCCCTGATTTTGTCACACTGGAGCTCCCTGTAGTCTCCTGCCTGGCTGCTTTGAGGTGTTTTCACTCCTTCCCATTTGGGGCCCCACATTATTTTGTGAACCTCATACTAGTCACCCTGCTTTTATCACACTGTGGTCCTGCTTTGTCCACACTAGAGTATCCTCATTACCCTCCCACAAGAGTTCCCACAGTATCCCCCACACCCCTTCCAAGGGCCATTACTTTTCTAATGATGATCTCCCCTTGCTATCTTTTTTGAAACCACTCTCTACCTCCTGCAATACGCTTCCACTGTTAGCCACACATTTTGCCATCCTCTTCCTCTGGGTTCTTATTATTATCTTCACTTATTTTCCTCTAGGATTGCACTTGTCCCTTGTCTTCTCGAACTAGGGAAACACCATCCTTTCCTACAGGGGTTTCTGGTATTTCCTGCCCCTTCCAATGGGAGCCTCACTTCTTGTTCCCTCTCCTAGACCACCCTTTTATAAATCCAGGGTCTCCTCTTTGTATCCTGTCCTGTAACACCAGGGAGCATTTCATCCCCTCCATATCTATAAAATGGTTCCCACAGTGTATCTTCTGCTTTCAAACTCAGAATTCCACAGTATTTCCGGACACAAATCTCAAGACCCTATCCCACTTGGATTACCCCCAGCCCCCTATCTTTATCACTAATGGCTTTATAGTGTTCCAATCACTATACATCAATTCACAGTGTAGTCTTCATGGTATATCCTGTCTCCTCAAGAGCCTCTGCTTTTCTCATAGTGAGATCTCCCCTTGCCTCTCACATTGAAGAATCCCTGTCTCTTCTCAAAGGAGATTCCACTAATAGTTATTGTGACTTCAGTGCTAGAATCCCACTTCTAATACCCTTAAAACTGTGTTCTACAATGTTCCCTATTCATTCAGTGTGAGGTCCCAGTATATTTCCAATCCCCTCACATTAAGACTCCTATTTGTCCTGTTGGACATCCCCTCACAGGACACTGGCCTGCAGTGTTTTCTTAACATTTTACATCAGATTCCATTATTTAAAAACCAGGAGGGTAAGGTAGCCTTGATTTCCAATTCTGGTTCCACCAGTCCATCCTGTCATCTTCACTTGACAATCTTTAACAAATGAGTGGCCTTGGTTTCAGAAAGGTTAGATCAAATTTTCCTAAACTCACATATTTAGTAAATAATATAGAATCGGATATCAAAGCTACCTGATAACCAAAGCAACACAACCAAAACAACAGATTTGAGTTTCAGTATGACTCAAAAAGTAATATTAAGGACCTCACTTCTTTCTAAAAACAGAACCTGATGTCTTTCTCCCTAATATCAGGTTAGAGCTGAAGTCAAAAATGGTATTTTTGTCTTATAAATCTTAGAGTTTGGATTCTGCCACTTACTAATTAGGATACCTGATGCAACTTACCTAATCTCTCTCAACTTCAGTTGCCTCACATGCACTTTGCTTATATGGTTGTTCATTCATACCACAAATACTTCCTTATCACCTACTATATGCCATTATAGCATTGTTATGAGATTTAAATAATATGGTGCATGAAAAGCATGCATCACAGTTGACAGCACATTGTAAGAGCTCATTAAATAATAACTTGTTATTACTATTATTAATGAGGATATAAGATTCTGCTTGACTCAAGAAAATAAGCTTAGACTTTAAACAGGGAGAAAAGTAACAGGATCCATTTTTTAAGGTACAATTCACATAACATAAAATTAACCATTTTAAAGCATTCAATTTAGTGACAGTACATTCACAATGTTATACAGTCATCACTAATATCTAGTTCCAAAACACTTTCATCACCCCAGAAGAAAACCTCATAGGCATTAGACAGTCACTCCCCATTCGCTCCTTCCCCTAGTCTCTACCAACCACTAATCTGTGTTCTGTCTCTATGGATTCTGGATGTTTCACATAAGTGGTGTCATACAGTATATCTCCTTTTGTGCCTGGCTTCTTTCAATTGGTGTACTGTTTTTGAGGTTTATTCACATTGTAGTATGTAACAGTACTTCATTTCTTTTTATGGCTGAATAATATCCCATTGTATACCACACTTTATCCACCTTATCCATTCATCCCTTGATGGTTGATGGACATTTGGGTTGTTTCCACTTTTTGTCTATTCTGAATAGTGCTGCTATAAACATTGATGTACAAGTATTTGTTTAAATACTTGTTTTCAACTCTTTTGTGTAAATACCAGGGAGAGGGGTGGTAAAGCTGGGCTGTATGTTAATTCTATGTTTAACTTTTTGAGGAACCTCCAAACTATTTTCTACAATGGCTGCACAATCTACATTTCTATCAGTAATGTTGGAGGGTTCCAATTTCTCCACATTCTCACCGAAACTTGTTATTTTCCTTTTTTTAATTATAGCCATCATAGTGGATATGATGTGGTATCTCACTGTGATTTTGATTTGCATTGCCCTGTTGACTAGTGATACTGAGCATCTTTTCATGTGTTTGTTGGCCATTTGTATATCTTCTTTAAAGAAATGTCTATTCAAGTCCTTTGCACGTTTTTAATTGGGTTATTTATCTTTTTGTTGTTGAATTATAAGATTTCCTTATGTATTTTGGATACTCAACCCTTATCAGATAAATAATTCACGGATACTTTCTCCCATTCCGTGAATTGTCTTTTCACTTCCTTGATAGCATCATTTGATACACAAAGTTTTTAATTTTGATAAAGTTCAAGTTATCTATATTTTTTACTTGTGGCCTATGCTTTTGGTATCATATCTAAGAACCCATTGCCAAATGCAAGGTCATAAAGATTTACCCCTGTGTTTTCTTCTAAGAGTTTTATAGTTTTATCTCTTACATTTAAGTCTTTGATCCATTTTGAGTTCATTTTTGTATATGGTGTGAGGGAGGAGTGCAGGTTCATTCTTTGCATATGGCTATGCAGTTGTGCTAGCATCATTTATAGAAGAGACTATTCTTACCCCATTGAATAGCCTTGACATGATTGTCAAAAACCAATTGACCGTAGAGCTCTGGATTTATTTCTGTACTCTTAATTCTGTACCATTGATTCGTTTGTCTGTTCTTCTGCCAGTACCACACTTGTTTTGATTACCATACCTTTGTTTTAAATTTTGAAGTCAAGATGTGTGAGTCCTCCAACTTTTTCTTTTATAAGACTGTTTTGGCTAGGGTCTCTTGCAATTCCATATGAGTTTTAGGATCAGCTTTTCCACTTCTGCAAAATGTTCATTGGAATTTTGATAAGGGTTGTACTGAATTATGTATTGTTTTGAAGAGAATGCCATCTTAAAATCAAGTTTTCCAATCCATGCACATGGGATGTCTCTTCATTTATTTAGGTCTTCAGTCACTTTCAGCACTGTTTTGGAATTTTAAGTGTATAAGTCCTGAGCCTCCTTGATTAAATTTATTCCCGAGTATTTCTTTTTTGATGCTATTATAAATGGAATAGATTTCTTAATTTCCTTTTCTGATTGTTCACTGCTAGTGTATTTAGAAATAAAACTGATATGGAGTGTTGATCTTGTGTTCTGCAACTTTGCTTGAATTTGTTCACTGGTTCTAAGAGGGTTTTTTTGGTGGATTCTTTAGAATTATTTATACATAGAATCATATCATACGCAAATAAAAATAATTTAATTTCCTTTTTCCAATTTGGATGCTTTTTTCTTTTTCTTGCCTAGTTGCACTGGCTAGAACTGTCAGTACAATGTTGAATAGAATTGATGAAAATCAACATCGTGACCTTATTTCTTAGCTGAGGGAGAAGATTTCAACCTTTCACCATTGAGTATACTGTTAGGTGTGGGTTTTCTGTAAATGCCCCTTATCAAGTTGAGGAACTTTTCTTCTATTTCTAGTTTCTTGAGCATTTTTTTTCATGAAAGTGTGTGGAATATTGTCAAATGCTTTTCTAGCATCAATTGAGATGAATGTGTGGATTTTTTTCCTTCATTCTGTTAATGTACTGTATTACATTATTGATTTTCATGTGTTGAATCACCCCTTACATTTCTGGGGTGCATGTCACTTGATCATGATGTGTAATCCTCTAATATGCTGTTGAATTTGGTTTGCTAGTAATTACTTGAGTAGTTTTGCATCTATATTCATAAAATATGTATGTAGTTTTCTTTCCTTGTGATGTCTTTATCTGGCATGGGTGTCAGGACAATGCTGGCCTCATAGAATGAGTTCAATATTTTTTTTAACTTTTTGAAAATAATCTTTAATGAGAAACTTGAGCTTGCTTTCACAAACTTACTTTTTAATATCGGGTTT